TAGCTTTGTGATCCCAAATCCAGTTATTGAGCCTCTCTCCTCCCTGTGAAGTTGGTATCATGATAATACCTAGCCACATAAGGATTAAGTTAGATAATACTTATAAGTTGCTATGGCACAGAGTCTTGTGCAAAATGAGCCTTCAGTAAATGATGATGGTGATGGTGATGATGATGATGATGATAATGGCAAACACTAACATAAGGCACTTACTGTGTGCCAAGCTCCACTTCTAAGCACTTTACATGCATCACCTCATTTATTCTCCGTAACAATCCTAAGAACAGGTAGGTATTGCTATTACTCCCAGTATATTGCAGCACAGAGAGGTTGTGAAATTTGCCAAAGTAAGTAGCAGAACCTAGGTGTGTACCTAGAGCATGCGTCCAGAGTCTGAGCCCCTAACCACTGCCATGTGGTATGGGGTCTCCCATGACTTTCTGTTGCCGGCACAGACTCTTCCTACAGGTGAGTGGCTGCTATACGTACACGCTTAATGTGCATTAACTCATGGAGTCTACACACCAGCCTATGCCACAGATAGTATTATTAAGTTTATATTAAATGTTTACATAAACATAACAAGGGGCTAAAACAAAAGGTGAAGGCAGTGAAGGGAGAGGGTCATCGGCTGTAGTGCAAAGAGAACTGAGTTAAGGACTGAAAAGCCAGAACTACTGCAAACTACTCCAGGCAGGAAATGTCAGTGGATGTCTTGGCTGGGAGGGAAATGTGTGATCGGAGGACAGAGGGTGGGTAACAAAGATGATGAACCATTCTGGCAGCTTCAGAGTTTTGTTGAAAAGCCAGGTCATTGTAGCAGTTAGCAGGAGCAGGTAAAGTATGGTGGACAGGGATGGGCTTTGAAGTCAAGCACCCGTTCTTTGACTTACTAGCTCTGTCTGCTAGGAAGTCACGCAACTTCTCTGAGCCTTGGGTTTTATTTTACTAAAATGGAGATTATAATACCTAATTTGTAGAATTGTTTGGAAAATTAAAAGACAGATTTTTTTAACTGCCAAGCACGGTGACTGGCACAGAACACACTTAATAAATTCTAGTCCTCTTGTAAAGTACAGTGTGTGATAAACTAGGACAGGTTAACCTACAGGTGTTTATAACATAAGAAAACCAAACACTCCTTCAAGTAGGGAAAAATAATAGAGAAGAGTAGGAGAGAATAATGCTGTCCTGCTTAATAATGAACACCATAATAATCTTCTAAAAGCAGAGGAGAAAAAATTCGTTTTTCTTCTGATTTACATTTGGGACAAAGAAAACTTGGTTGGATGTTTTCCCAGATTGTTATAATGTAAGGACTCTTCCAGCATATACCCCTGGGGATGGCAGAAAATGCAAGTCTAACAGAAAAGAAAATTCTGGATGTCCAATCTTGGATAAATTGCCAAGTCCTCAGAAACACTTTCAGATGATGTCACTGTCTTGGTTTGTCATTACTCAGAGGGTTTGATTACAGTGTGAGCTTTTCCAAACGCCAAATTATCAAACATTCCAGGTGCACAAAATAATCACCATTTCCTATCGACAAACCTTGCATAAAGTGCTTAACTGTTGTCACATTGATTTCCTATGTTCGTTCACCCCACCATCACCAATGTAACATTGGTTAATACCTCATTCTTGCCCAAGATCTTCACTATCAGTAAATTATTATTTGTGGAAAAGAATTATAATTCTAAAAGAATGTGTATTATACTGTAATTGATAGAGAATATGCTTTTAACGTACAGGGAAAGACCAATTTTCTGACACTTCAGCTCTATTTGCTTAAAAGCATTACTACTATAAAGCACCAATTATGGCTAACCATGGCATTATTCTCACTTTAGTAAGTAGCTGGTTTTGTAAAGCTTTAAGAACTCTCAACTTTGGCAATCAATTTAGTTAACTACAGGAAATGGCCTATTTCATATAGATTATTACCTTAATATCATATTGCTCCCCAAGCTCCCATACATCCAGAGTGAACTGTCACTCAATATACATTTACACAGACCTCTCACTATTAAGCCTGCCAGATAAAGCACACTCGAGAAGCCATATTTGTATAATATCACGGTTATCAGGGTTTGACTTCATATTCTCCACCATATCCACCCTCAATTCTTTCGGGTTCTATAAATTAACTTTACCTCAAACTAGCTAAAAATAACAAAAAGAGCCCCAAACAGGGAATTAGGGGGATTCACGAGTCCCAGCTAAGTTCCAGTGGGAAGGTAATGAATTCTATCCTGTTTTAGTTTGGTCCTGCCATCCAACCATCTCACCAGCCAGAACCCGGGGTGGGGGGGGGGGCGGATTCCAGAGTGTCTTCCAATCCCTCAACTCTTATATCCAAGCAGTAGTTGAGGTGTGTTGCTTCCATCTTTTAAATGTTTTTTGAATCTTTACTCTCCATTCTACTTCCCTAACTTCAGTCTTCTCCTATTTTATATTACAATACAGAAGGTTTTATACTTTAAAGCTTTGAAATACAAAATAAAAACATCACAGAACATGTATATCGACAAAAGACAACTATGGTCCCTTGGATTTAAGACCAAACAGACTCAGGACACCTTTTAGAGGCCCAAACACTGAGAAACTTTCTCCATTATATTGCATCCTCACCTGAGCAAGTATCCACACTACAAATCTGATCACATCTTTCTCTCTCTGCTGCTTAAAATACTTCTCTGAAGTTTGCTTGTCGATAAAGTCAGTCCAAGTTCAAAAAGTGTTTACCTACTCTGATTTAGAAGTAGAAGCTAACGTGCTCCAATAGTCTAGAACATATTATCTTAGACCCCTCCAATCCCATGGAAATTGACCTGTATCATCTTCCAAACTTAATATTACCATACAGAAGCTTAGTTTCCTAGCGTTTACTGCAAGTATTAAAAAGTGAGCCATTCTCCATCATTAAAAAGCCTACAAATAAATAATAAACGCTGGAGAGGGTGTGGCGAAAAGGAAACCCTCCTACACTGTTGGTGGGAATGTAAGTTGGTACAGACACTATGGAGGACAGTATGGAGGTCCAGCAAAAAATTAAAAATAGGGTCACCATATGATCCAGCCACTCCTGGGCATATATCCAGACAAAACTATAAGTCAAAAAGATACGTGTGCCCCTGTGTTCATAGCAGCACTATTTAAAATAGCTAAGACATGGAAACAACCTAAATGTCCACTGACAGATGAATGGATAAATAAGATGTACATATATACAACGGAATACTACCAAACCTTAGAAAAGAATGAAAGAATGTCATTTACAGCAACATGGATGGACCTAGAGATTATAATACTAAGTGAAGTCAGAAAGAGAAAGACAAATACCATATATTATTACTTATATGTGAAATTTAAAATATGACGGAATGAACCTAGGTATGAAACAGAAAAAGACTCACAGACATAGAGAACAGACTTGTGGTTGTCAAGGGGAAGGGAGTCGGGGACGGATGGATTGGGAGTTTGGAGTCAGCAAATGCAAGCTAGTATATACAGAATATACAGAATGGATACAAAACAAGGTCCTACTGTACAGCACAGGGAACTATATTCATATCCTGTGATAAACCACAATGGAAAAGAATATGAAAAAGAACATATATATGTATAACTGAATCTCTTTGCTCTACTGCAGAAATTAACACAGCATTGTAAATCGACCATACTTCAATTAAAAAAATGAGCCATTCTGATGCATTGTTTCTAACCGTGGTTTACAGAATCCTCAGGAGTCAAGTACCAATAGCCCCTCCCATGAGTGGTGAATGGAGGCCCTCGGAAAAGAGATGCAGCCCTTGCTATTCTCAAAGTTCACCCTGCCTGGGAAACACACATAAAAAGTATTACCTGGAGTGATCAGTATAATAAGAAATACATTAATGGGGCTACAGAAGCATGAAGGAGGGGTTGTACCAGGCACAAAAGATGCAGAAAAGCAGCCCAAGGAGAAGAAATGGCCTGAGTAAAGGCAAGAAAGTCTATCTATGCACAGAGTGTTAAGGATAAAAGTAAACTTTGTAATTCAGGAAAGGCATATATTTGGATTTTCTATACTATTTTGAATTTTCACATGAAAACCTTCCTCTTAATTGTGTTATGGTCACGTTTCCTTATCAAACAGGAGTTCTCTTTACTGCTAATGTAATTACTTACTCCTGCCATCACAAGAGGAAAGGCAAGTGTTTTCAGGGCAGCAGATTACTGCCCACTATGCCATCACTAATAAGAGAAATTATAATATTTGTACTGTTATAATCTCCAGAAAAGCTCTAAGGAAAAACCTCAGAGTAACTCCAGAAATCATTTTGCCAGGATTTTCTTTTCATTTGAACTTCAACAAGTAAATGTCCAATCTGTAGAGTGGTCCTAAGTGCAAGAAATTCTTCAAAGAAGCATAAACACAAATTTGTTTAAAAAAATGTAACATGGCTACACTCTCGTTTCCATTCAACCCAAGCAGTAGGAAAGAGAACTGCCATCCTGAAAATTGAGGAAACGCCCCATGAACCATAGTAATGAGCTACCAGGTGTAAACAGACAGTGAAAATTCTTAGATAATCCCCAAAGACTAATTTTACTCTGATGTTTCAATCCCTACCTCACAAAAACTTTCTTAATCACTATTAAAATTTGGAAAAACTTACTACTTTGGACTCTATCCCATCTTTCTCCTTGGATTATTTACTCAAAGTACTCGTAAGCTACAGATTACAGAAACACAGTTATCAAAACAGAAGGAAAGCATACACGATGGATCATAAAGGAAGGAAAATGCCTCAAAAGTGGATTACCAGCCTCTGAAGAATCGAGATCTAAAAGAAGTCAATCCCCACGTGTAATCTGAACAGCAATGTTTCTTCACCAAGATACCAGCTCGCAGGTTATTTGAATCCTATTGCCATCATTTTCCACATTTCTTTTTCTTGCCCCATGCTTTCCCTTCCCCCAAGGAAATCTAAAGAAAACCATGTGGTTTTACTTACAATCGTGAAGTTCATGACTTTGAGAATCCAGATGGTCATGGCCAAGTTCACCAGTATTAAAATCATCAGGAGTAGGACAAAGAAATACAGGCATCTTTTCCGCCAGCCATAAATCCCCACTTTGTATACCTGTGGTCCCTCGGAGCTGGGCATGGTGCTCCGGTGGTGGGTGTACTGTTCCTGAGGCATCTGAAATAAATGAGGTGAGAGAGAAGCACTCACATTAAACTGCTCAGAGAGAGAGAGAGGAAAAAAAAAAGAATGGAAAAAAAATCAACTGATGAAGAGTTATGGCTGACTGCTGTCTATATGTTTCCACCCTCCTGACAACTCTAAAAAGATATGTTTCCCCTGGACAAGAGTGGCTCCTCTGGATGCTTGCATGAGCTTGCATGAGACATCTCTCATGATATGCACTGAGACAGCCACACACACACATATATATATATATATATATATATATATATATATATCACAGGAGAAGAGGGACCCGTAGGAAGCCATTTTCCAAATGATTCTTAGAATTCCAACATCTTTGTGAGGGAGCCACTCAAAGTCCTCAGGGAGAGGACTTCATGGTGGTATACTACTACTACTTAGGCAGCTGATTTGGGGGAGGGGGGAGGTAAAATGATCTCAAATGCAATCATTCTGTATTGCCAAAAAGTTAGTGGCAAAAGTAACAAATTTGATCTTCCCTCCATTCCAGAGTTCAAAGGGGGTGCTGATGGGCACATAGATTAAGCCTCACTTGACTCAGGGATCTTCAAAAGGTGATAGAGGGCTTCCCTGGTGGCGCAGTGGTTGACAGTCCTTGCAATCATTCTGTATTGCCAAAAAGTTAGTGGCAAAAGTAACAAATTTGATCTTCCCTCCATTCCAGAGTTCAAAGGGGGTGCTGATGGGCACATAGATTAAGCCTCACTTGACTCAGGGATCTTCAAAAGGTGATAGAGGGCTTCCCTGGTGGCGCAGTGGTTGACAGTCCCCCTGCCGATGCGGGGGACGCGGGTTCGTGCCCCGGTCCGGGAGGATCCCACATGCCGTGGAGCGGCTGGGCCCGTGAGCCATGGCAGCTGAGCCTGCGCGTCCGGAGCCTGTGCTTCCTCTGAGCACAGCATCCCTACTCTGCCATGAGCCATGTGACAACATGGCCTCTACTGCTTTTCTCCTTTCAAATGACTGCACAAGCTTTATTTGGGGATTTTTACTTCATCTGGCCCTCACGTAGGCAGACTGCATTCTCTAGGAATAAGGCCTGTCTCTGCTTATTTTCACCTTAGTCAATAGCACTTACATTAGTGATATATGGTGCCAAAGTGACCATGGTGACAAACAAAATGTAGGCCCTAAAATCATAACCTTGGTTATGAGGTCATCTTCCAGATGGTTCAGAATATACTTATTGTATGGTTTTTAGATAATCACTAAAATGCACACAAAAAAATCTAAAAATCCCCCAGAGGACTCATGGCCTTTAGGCATCAGTGGAATTCCATTTGAAAAACCAAGTAAATTCTCACTTAAGGTCAACTCAAATGCTCAATGAAGATCTACATACATCTATGTCATTGTGAACACTCCCCTAGCACCAAAATCAGGCCCTAATATGAGTATGTGTTCGAACATATGTGAGTGGAATGAATACGTGAAAAAAAATGAATGCATAAATGATGAATGAATGAATGATTTCCCATCCACTATGAAATCTGCTGCCATCTGGGTGTGTACAAAAGTCCAAGCCAAACACCAGGGGCAACTTCTTGTTTGTATCCTTGCAAATTTCCACTTCAGTCTCCCAAAGCCCTGGCTTCCCAGCCAAGCACTGAGCTTCACACTATGAAGGGATCTCAGTTGTATTACTCAGCCCCTTACAGTTCTGCAGACCAGGGCTGTGTTGTAACAACACGGGGAACACAACAATGTCATCTCTCACTGACCTTTTCACACACCAAGATCAATAAGAGGGGAAAATAAATGTCTTACAAGTCTGAAGGAAATTAGGCCTTTCTTTTCCATTAAATCATATTCTGTAAATTAAGGAAATAATCACAACATCTTAGAATCCTATCTGCAAGGTCCTTTGATTCTAATCAATTAATTCTATGAGTCAGCTGACTTAAGACTAGAGAAGCTGACACACTTGTGCACGGCTCCAGGGTTTGTGGCAGGGCAAGGACAAGAATTGTAGTCTTTGACCCTTGCAGGTGTGAAGAACAGTGAGAAATTCTTGACAAATGAGTGTACAGAAGCTAGCGATATTGCCGGCACACCAGGTGCCTTTTCTCTGACATTTATCCCAACCGATGGGGGCATTACATAATTTAGCTATAAAATGGAAGTGACATGGTCAATAAATATTTATCAGGCTGTGGATATGGACATCATACATGTGATTTTGTTTTCATACACAGATTGGAACTTGACAGATGCAATGATTATCTCCACTCGGATTTTGCGATCCTGATGTACATCAGAGGAACCTGCGGAGCTTTTAAACCATCTACACTCAGGTTAATTAAATAATAATCACAAGGAATTTTTTAAAAAGTCCCCCAGATAATCCTAAAGTGTAGACAAGGTTGCATACCACTGATCTAGAATAATGTCTCAACCCTGACTATGCAGCAGAACCCCAAACAAACTTTTAACAGATACAAAATCAAATTCTGAGCTCTACAATGGAATTGGAAAGCTCCCCAGGTCATTCCAGGCATTTGTGACAGCTTATCTTAAAATGCCTTTTTTGCTGTTGCTGTTATTAAGCCAGATACCTCCCTGGCTGCTGCTGCTGCTGCTTTTTTTTTAATTGACTTTTATTTAAGTATAGTTGATTTACAATGTTGTGTTAGTTTCTGTTGCACAGCAAAATGAATCAGTTATATCTTTCTTTTTTTTTTTTCATAATACAACCATTTCAAGGCAAAAATCTTGAAATAAATTCTAGAGTATAAAGCAGACCAGCAGAGCTGCTTTGCTTAAAGCAAGAGTGAGGGCTTGGCCACTCTTGAAGCACTTCTACAGAACCTTAGGACTCTTAGAAACCACTGACTTTCCCCCCCCCATGTTAACTGACCAGCTGAGGAGCTCAAAGACAGTAAGGGGAAGCAGTGACCTTTCAAGCCACATAGTGAATTAGAAGCTGAGCGGGGATGGAACCCAGATCCTCTGATACATGGTGTAGTGCCTGATTCTGTATGTCATGAGGGCTCTTGCACCGGCACCATACTTCCTGCCTACTTTAAGGAGTCACATCAAACAAAACATTCCAGTCTGCAATTCAAGGAGGGAAGGAAAGACAGAAGGAAGGAGGGAGGAAGGAGGCCATTTTGTACAAATGATTATAATACGAAGTGTTGACATCACTTATATGTGGAATCTAAAAAAAAAAAAAAAAAATGGTACAAATGAACTTATTTACAAAACAGAAATAGAGTCACAGATGTAGAAAACAAACTTACGGTTACCGGGGGCGGTGGCGGGGAAAGGGATAAATTGGGAGATTGGGATTGATATATACACACTACTGTATATAAAATAGATAACTAATAAGGAACTACTGTAAAGCAATCTATTACTCAGTACTGTGTACTAACCTATATGGGAAAAGAATCTAAGAAAGAGTGGATATATGTATAACTAATTCACTTTGCTGTACACCTGAAATTAACACAACATTGTAAGTCAACTATACTCCAATAAAATTATTTAAAAAAAAAAGAAAAAATAATACAAAGTGTTGCCAGCCAAACAATATGGTAACAGATACGTCTGTTATAAATAATCCTGCTTAGAAAAAGAAAACTTAGATAAGCTGAGTACATTAATTTTTCTTGTCAAAAACAGAAACATGTTGAAATAATAAAAACTTAAGAGGAAAGACAGACTCCAATCTGTGTTTCTTTTTGGTCCTTCCTGGGAGAAATCTGCTGTATAGGGAATAAAGTTGAAGTTTCAGGTCCTCCCTCATCCAAGTCCCTTCCGTGGCCCCAGAAGGGGCCCTAGTAGTGTATTAACCAGCCATCAAACATTTTTGTAAAACTCAACTAAAGTAAGATGAAAAAGACCCTTTTTCACCTTCCCCTTATGTTGCGTTGTTTTGGAGGATTTACATGCATCTTGAAGGTCCGAATAAGAGGAAGTTGAATTGGGGGCTCACATAGTTTGGGTGCAGTGGTATGTATTTACATGGTTTGCAGACACCTCCCTGTAGAGGTACATTATGCTAGCTCCCCTCATATAAGAATGTCTTCCAGGAATTCTCCTTCCATCCTTGGCTCCGACTCACCAAGCATGCTGTCATGAAGGTACATGACCAAAGGACACATTGCCATGTAAACATGTCCTATGATGGCCAGCACCAGAAATACGTGGATACTAGAGGAGACAGAAGCTAGGTGGAAATTTTTTTCTAATCATCAGTTACGTAAAATTTCAAGTGTAGAATTCAATTCTCATTGACACCCAGTCAAAACAGAAATTCTCTCCTGTCAAGAATATACTCAATGCAGCACAGAAAATAAATGTTCCCCACGGTTTTTCTTTTCTTATGGAAATCATGGAAAAGAGAATTAATCAGAATTCTTGTGTTTTCAGGTTGTGTGCACCGTGTGTCTGAATTCTGTACATAAAATTGCATGCTTTATGCTTCACAACTATCAATAATTAAAAAGTTTTATTGAAATCAGCATAGGAGACAATTATCTTTCTATTGTCTACAGAAAAAGTGGTAGCACCTTCATATGAAGAGGCAATCAAAGGATATGCCACCAAAAACTGTAGGAAAAGTATGTCAGATAGTTAATTAATATTATTTTTTCTGGATTTTATGATAGGTCAGCTTTTAAAAATTAATAATTTAATTTCCTCATTCTAAGTACATAGTCATGTTTTTTTAACTTGAGTTTGTATTTCTAATTTTTTTAGTTTTTCCCTTAAAACAGCCCCACAAATTGTTAAAGCTTCGGGCTTCACCAAACCTGGAGAGTCCTCTGGTCCGTCCCATAAAGAACCCCAAGTGTACATCAAAACCTCAGTGGAACATCATCATAAGACATCACTCCCTAGCTGAACTCAGTGAGAGGTACGCTTATCTGTGTTCCACTGGGAGGGATTTTCAGACTTCTGAATGTGTGAGAACCACCCTGGCAAACAATAAGTGCAATAAATGCAGATTCCTAGGCTTCACG